ACAGGTAAGAGAGTCTCAACATTAGCATGAGTGCGAAGCAAAAAAAAACCATTTTCCCCCAGATGAAATTTCATTTAACGTGTCTATAGAAGCCATGTTTCAAGTGAAATGTGTGATGCATAGATAGTTTTTGAAAGACACTCTTTAAAATCAGCAGATCCAAATTGATCTGACTGTCTGGCTTTTGTCTGCCTATAAATGTAATCATAAATATAATTAATGATATGGCTTTGATAAAACAGTTCTATCACTGATTTCAATTTTTCCCTTCAGAATGTAAATATATATTAATGTTTTTCCAAATCCAGGTCCTTTACACATTTTCTCACAGGTGTCTGTGCCATTATTGGAGGAGTGTTTACAGGTAACTGGATTTTTGTTTAAATAGTTTTCTATTCATTTTGAAACTGAAATTAGTAAATGTTTTGATCAATACATCATACTTTCAGGGCATTTTCAAATCAGTTCTGCTATTATTTAAAAGGTTTGCCATAATGAATGGAAATAAAATGAGAAATAGGGAAAATTTGTCAGTTGATATTATTAATGAGTAATATTGATGGCTTTTACTTACTATACAACTTTTGAAAAAGTATAACTCCTGATTGATTCAACAAGATTACATTCACATGGTTATGAATGTATTATACCATAAGAATAGAATTTGGAAAGAATGCCAGCGGAGTTCTTTTTTATTTTGGGGCAATATTGCAGGATTTTTTTTACTTTTCTTTTCTATATGAGCTAATTAAACTTCCCTTCTTTTTCCTCTTTTCAGTTGCAGGACTCATCGATTCTTTGATCTATCATTCAGCTCGAGCCATTCAGAAGAAAATTGAACTTGGAAAAACTACATAGATTAGTGTCTACAAACCTTCCTAAAAGACTTGAAGAAATGAAAAATAACCCTAACATCAATGTCCAATATGAATGTGCCAAGTGAAGATAATTGGAACTTTGAGAAGAGACTGACATTCCAGTCCTGGGACAAGTAAAACAGGGATTAAATTTAAACATCGATGTTTGTGGCTGTTAAAACATTTCTGTTTTAATATTCACATTAATCTGTTGGCATATATTTCAGTTTCTATATTCCAAAAGAAAGTGTCATCCAGAATATAGACTACAATAACTTCTACATGTCTAAAACTAGTTATTTCTAATTTAATTTGTATTTAGTGATACTGTAAATTGTGTGGTTGGAATAAATTCTCAGGAAAATGTTTTACTAAAGTGATGTGATAAGTGACTTTTTTTAAAGCTTGTTTATGTAGTATCAAGAGTTGTTATATCCAAAAATATTCCTTATGGCAGCCATTTCCCCCTCTTCATTGGTATGTAATACTTTAATTCTAACCACAGTCTGCAATAGGTCACATGTTCTTCATCTTTGGGTATTCATTTTCTAAACTTGATTAGAATATTTTGCAATACAGTGTGAAATTACTGCTTCCTGTCTCACACCTATTTTCCCAATGCCTCATGTATTTATTTGCAGTTTCTCATTCTTCATCTCACTGTCCAGCTGATGGAAATATCCTGTTATTAATCATTGTGATGATTGATCAGGTAAGGTGATTGTTTATGATAATGTGATAATGATGACCTATTGAATTTATGCCTACTCTAGGCGTATTTGGAACCTAATGTACAAATAGTTTCCTCACTGGCTTCCATTGCATCTTGGGGGTATATATCAACTGTACCACTATGGCACTTTACTCTTCATGACATTAACTTAAATGTCTATAGCTGTGTAACTGAATTTTTGCTGTTTTATTGACCACAACATTTATGTGTTATTTTTTTGAGATCAGCAGTGGGTAAAGTGTAGCACTGAGTGACATTTGGGGTCGATAGGAGGAATCGCACTGGCGTTTTGTGAAATGATGAGAGTCATATTTGATTAAAGAATAATACAAACTGAGCAGGAACAGCTGGTCAGGATTTTCCAGGTTTTGGGAATTAGGTTAAATATTGTGTGGCGAGGGAGGTTCCCTGCTTAAAACCCATCAGAGCAGTTGGAGGGGGTCAATTAAGTAGGGCTGAGTGCAGTGGTGGGATTCAAATTTTTTTACTACCAGTTCTCTGGGCGTGGCTTGGTGGGCATGGCAGGGGAAGGATACTGTAAAATCCCGTCAGAGGTGGTATTTGCCAGTTCTCCGATCTACTCAAAATTTCTGCTATCGGTTCTCCAGAACTGGTCAGAACCTCCTGAATACCACCTCTGGTTGGGTGCAAATCTTACCCTTTGTTTATTTACTCGTCTCTAATTGGAGCAGCATAAAAGTATTCAGATAATAGTGTATTTTTTGACCAGTGCAATAGATTTATCCTGCATTTCAGTTTTACTTTACAGCAGTGGCCCCCAACCTTTTTTGTACCACGGACCGGTACCGGCATCACAAAATGATCCACGGACCGGTACCGGCATCAGCACGCACGACCAAGGCAAGGCGAGCCGAGCGACCGGCCAGCCAGCCGTCCCCCGCTTCTCCCCGCCACCTTCAACTCCTCCTTTGTACCTTCTCGCGGTCGATGGGCTTTTCAGGCTCTTTCTTAATCTCCTCCTGAGTAACGCAAGACTCCACCGCTATCGGGACGGCTCTTCGTTCGAAGCCGCCCCCCCCTTCGACGAAACTAAGGCGCGAGGATTCCTTCAGCACCCAAACACCGCTTTCCAACCGACGACCGACAAGCTCACCCGGAAGCACTTTCTCAAGCGCCGTCAAAACAAGATGGCGACGCCCAAGCAAAATAGGCGGCCTGGTACAAAATGATCCACGGACCGGTACCGGTCCGGGGCCCGGTGGTTGGGGACCACTGCTTTACAGAGAAAAAGTTTATCACGCAATATGTCTAATCACGGGAATGGTCATGCCAACAAAAATTTATCTAGTATCATAGAAAACTGTATTATGAACCAAATCATTGACTACTTAGCTTACCATTGTTTAAATAAAAGTTTTAAGTAAAAAAATAATAATAATGTGAATTTCCCCATTTTTGCTAACATTACTCTTACATGTTTTGATATTGGGTCTACAATTGATGAAGCTAATATAGAGTTGCCAATTAGTGTATTAGACATTCCTAAATAATGGCTGTTGTAATATATATCTAGAATCACTCCAAACAGCAAGATGTATATACATTTAATAAACATATTTCCAGCAATCATTTCAAATAAAATTAAAATAATAATCATTTCAAGTAATATTCAAATAATATTAAAAATTTGGATAATTTATTGAGAACTTGATTTACAAATTATGATGGAGGGAAGGAGAAACACCAAATGAGTTATCAGAAAGCCTATTTTTCAAATTCAAAGATATATTTCACATTCAAACACCGGTTCTGAATATAATCAGAAATATGTTTCTTTTGATGCTACTTTTGGTGCTCCAATTTCTTCTGGTGTCAAAAACACAGCTAAGTAAATCTGAATTGTTCTGTCTATCGTTTCATACTCAGAGAATGGAGCAAAATCTGAAGCTAGTAACAACTAGTGTTTACAGTCTCTGTTATTCTAAAATGCATACATTCAGAAAAGCAGGACCATGTTGCTCATATTTTTAATATTTGGTGCATGAAACAAACAGAAATGTCTCCTCTTCTTGTGTTTTATTCTAGTTTTGCTTTTCTTTGAACCCAGAACAGAGATAATTTTTAAAAATCTGAATGTGAAGACCTGTAAGACTAAGATAATTTTGGGAGGCATTATATCCCTATTTCAATCTAATTAAGGAAGTTTAGACGCGTAGTGTAAAGTATCAACTATTTATAGAATGCCACTTTGCCTTCAGTTGCCAGCCTTTCAATGAGTTGTAGCTCAAAAGTGCCATTGTGTACTCCAGACTTGAGAAAGGCCCCTGCATTACGATTGTCTTCCCAGTAGTGATGCCAGTTCCCTTTGCTGTCTGCACCAAAGCCAAAGACAGAAACCTACCAAAGCAAGAGAAGCAAGTGAGAAAACAATGTCTGCAAAATACTTAAATGTTGCACATCTACTGAAGAGACCAGACACCTAATCTCTGTTATATGTTTTGAATTACACTTCTCCCGGGTCCCTGTCATTGCCATCCTGGATGGAAGAGATGGCATTGAAATACAAAACATCAAAAATACTGTTTTAGGTTGCCTGCCACCCTATAATCAATTGCATTACATAAATGCCAGAGTTGCATAATTTATATCCCTCCTCAAATGTTGCTTTTACTTTATGTTTTAGAAAGTTATGTATGGGTTTTGCAAAGTGGAAGGTGAAACAAGTAGGTAAAATATAACTCATGTTGAATAGTAGGTTGAATTTGGTTTCTTTGTCATAGTTTTTCATTTTGGTGATTAAAGTACAAAGTGTCCTGTAAAATATCAATATTTGCCACATATAGTCTGCCATTTAGTAGCTTCCCAACTGCCATTTGGCAGCTTCCCAACAAGATTTTTATTACTAAATAAATGGTAAAGAGAAATTGTTTTGGGAACAGAGGTAAAAGTGGTTAGTGAAGCCATAGGAACTCAATAGCTCTTCAGCTCAGAACCCATTTACAGCATGATTCCCAATCTTTCTGGCTCTGCAGACTGGGGGCTAAAGTGTCGGTGGTGGTGGTGGGGAATGGTTCCACACAAGCAGCAGGAGAATGGGGAGCTCTGTCGGAGCTTTGCGTACTCAAAGGGTGGCCCGCTGCTTGTGTGGCCTGGTTCCCAATAGGCTGCAGTCCAGTATGGTGCCACAGCCCAGGGATTGGGAACCCCTGATTTACAGAGATAAGAGGAATGGGTTTTTTAGATGCACTTACCCGTGTGCAAGTATGAATGGCAAAAATCAGTGTAATCAACCCAGTGGAAGGATACTTTCCATGATGCTGTGTCCATTTGTCTTGGATATATTTCAGGAAACCAGGATGAATTATTAGAATCTAAGAAGAAAATTTGATAAAACAAGATTCACCCAGATTGATCATAAATCCTTCCTCAAATTGGTCCATCTATTATAAAAATAACTTCAGAGCAAGAAAAGTCCTTGATGTTCCCTAGGACTTAAAATAGAATGGATGATCCCCTCTCCCTGGACACATCAGATCTTGACAGTATGTGCAGTTATTCCATGGCTTCAGGGCCACGGTACCACAAAATACCATACCTGGCTGTAGTCTGGAACAAGAACAGTTCATATTCCTAAGAGATTCCTAGTTTGATCCTCCCTAGTACAAGTTTTCTTTGACTGTTAAGAATGTGTGTAGTGGCCTCCATAATCATTTTCCTTCTGCCTCCTGTATTTTATTATTTAGCAAGGAATATTACCAGCTTGAAATATGATTTAATATATAAGATAAATATAAAACAATACATTTATTTATGAAGTTGGGACTCCAATAGTGATTATTTTTAATCCAAAAAAATAAAAATATAATAATAAATGCATTATTGCTTTTTTAATTTACACCTTACCTTGTTTTTGTCGGCTTTAATAAATCGTTTAACTCTTTTGTACGTTCTGAGAAAGGAATGGAAGAATCTTTACCATTCAACGTCATTCAATTTTCTTTTAATCAATATTGTAGACATTGTAGAAAGATAACTATATTATTCTATGGTAGCCCCAAATCAGGAGACTTCTGATTTTAAACATAATTTTATTTTTGTTCCTCTGGTTGATAGATTAAAACCCATTTATGGAAAACCGGTTTCATGGGAAATTTCTTTAATAAGTGATAATGACAAATAAATATCTGATATAGTGAGAACTGTGTTTGCCATCTAAGAATGGAAACATGCTTGATATTCTGATAGCACTAGGAATGCTTGATAGCATGATATTACTATGCTATTGCTCAGTCTTTTATATGCAATTACTTAAGAAGGATACTTACTGCTGGATATCTCCTGTTGAAAGGGCACTGGCCAACCATTTGAGATCCAGAGGTTTGAAAGGGACTAGTACAAGATGCACATTAGGATGGAGATTCATAGCACTCTCTGGGTACATGAAATGGTGTGTGGTTCGTGTACCAACATCTTCCTCAAAACCTGTAACCTGTGCAGTGTTCATTCTTTGAGAATATTTTAAAAAAAAAACAATCAGAATTTTCTTATTCAAGATGCCTAGGTCACACACATGAAAAAAAAATGTTACTTAAACTTACTAAGTACAAAACCTGGATCTAAGTCACAGATCCAGATAAAGTTAGTGGATATTGTCTACATCATGGGGGTCAAACTCATGACATGTTGCTGTCATGTGATGTATCATGACATTTTCCCCCTTTACGAAGCTGGGGTGGGAGAGGCCTACACATGACCCATCCAGCCCACAGGTTGCCAGTTTGACACCCCTGGCCTACATGATATTCAATACGGATATTATATTTTCTCATGTGGTTATCACTTTTTGAGAGAAGCTTAAATAGAATAACATATATTGCGTGTTAGAAGTACATAATATGGTTCATAAGCTGCATGCAGCATGCCTTTTGTAGTCTCAACAGAAGATTTGGGGTGGATTTTAAGGGGCAAATTTTAAACCTTAAACCTTGTAAAATGTCAAGGCACTCATTTCATGGCTTAAAAAATCAGCTTTACCTCATGGGGCCTACTTTAGATCCAAGTGTCTACTTTTAGAATGTGACATGTTGGGTAAAGTATATGCAGCTATTTACATAACAAGATGTATAACGCTACTCTTAGAAATGGGGATTTTCTAACTCCCAGCTGGATGTAGACTGAGATCTCTATACCTGGCCCACAAATACCCCTTTTCTTCCCTAAGGCAATAGAGCAGGGGTGTTAAACTGGCAGCCAGCAGGCCAGATGCATCATAAGCAGGCCACGCCTATCCCAATTCCACAAAGAGGGAAAATGTCACGATATGTCATGTCACGGCAACATGACACCGCGAGTTTGACACCCATGCAATAGAGTCTTACAATAGCCAGTTATAATATCTGATCACAGCAGCAACATATTAGATTCCTGATTGCAAACTTAGGATCATTTATCAGGATAAAAATGTTTTTAGTATGGTAATCGTCATTGTTTCATTGTCAATTTGTTTGTGGCCACATGCTGCCAACAGAGGAAATCACATCTTTTCTATATCCACAGATTTTCACTTTTATTAAATTTATATGGCGCCATCTTGCCTAGAGGTGATTCTAGGACGCTTACAAACAAGTAAAAAGCAACAAGATAAAACATTAAAATATTAGAATAATAAATATTAACATTAAAATTGACAATCAAGATGCCAAAAAGGGAGGAAGATTATTATTTCTATAATCTTTTTTTCTAATCTGGAAGGATAGGCTGTACAATACTTGAGATTTAATTCAGATTCAAGGTGCTTCAGAAAGTAAATGCAGTTTTTGTCTCTGACTCAATACAATATCATCTGTTTCCTGGATCCCAACAGAGTTGTGTGATCATGGAAAACACTGCTTTTGCTGCTACTGTTTTAACAAATCAGAGATAGATGCTGAGTTCATAGCTCTGCATATTCAAAACACCGCCTTTGAATCAAATCAAACATGGCATAAATATCCCAACTCCCTGCCATTTTAGGGCAGTCAGACTAGTTAATGTAATAATAAAAAAACAAAGAAATAGAAAAATATCACTCCTGGGAGAAGTCTACACCAATCTGTTGTGATGTCTTTTGAATCTAGTTTGAGGGCTGCAGATCTCTCATTCTTTGTGTTGAGGTAGGGTTGTGGTTGAGCTTTTACCCTCAACCACAACCCTACCTCAACCCATCCACCATCACCCAAGACTAGGCACGCACGCCCCCAACTACCTCAATTCCAACTACTGCCGGCCTTAAATGCAAACTACTCAATGCAAGAAGCCTCGTGAATAAAATACCTGAATTTCTCTTCCTCCTAAATATGGCTAACTTCGACATTATATTTGTCTGTGAAACATGGCTCAATGCATCTCTCCCCGACTCCATTACCACAGTAAGAGACTATCATGTTTACAGATCAGATCGTGAAAATCGTCAAGGAGGTGGAGTTGCTATATTCTATAAAAAATCCTTACATCTAAAAAATATCCAAGTTACCCAGGAGTTTGCCCTTCCTGAAACCATCATCTGTGAACTATCCTCAAATATCACAATTCGATTCTTACTATGTTACAGAGCACCTGATTATGACATCGAACATGTAAACAAGCTAAATACATTACTAACATGGGCTGCATCCTGCCCATACCCTTTTATCCTTCTTGGTGATTTCAATCTACCTCATATTAACTGGACCCTAAATGATTGTACAACTGAAATCATACACACAACCTTCTACAATGCTATTACAAATCTGGGACTGGAACAACTAGTAACCAACAACACTAGACTAAACAACTGCCTCGATCTCAACTTCTGCAACAGTTTGAACCTAATCTACGGAATACAATCTAAAGAACCCTTTTCCAGTAGTGACCACAATATGATCAACTTTTGTCTCAACATACATCCACACAAAAATCACCACAATGATGTAATCCCCTATTGTAACTTCAAAAAAGGCAACTATGATCTTATAGACAACGATCTCTCATCCCTTGATTGGCAATCTCTATTCACTGGATGCAATACCGTTGAAGACCATTATAACATATTTTTACTTGAAGTCAAAAGAGTCATCAAACTATATGTACCAACAACAACTCCCAAAACAAAACAAAAAAGCAGATTACCCATATCAATAAGGAAACTTCAATCCAAAAAGAGATCACTCTGGCGGAAAAACAAATCTGGTCACGTTGCCAATTTCAAAAACCGATACAAAAATCTATGCCACCAGATAAAGACCGAATGCACCAATTATCACATTAAACAAGAGGAAAACCTTCTAAGCACCAATTCCACCCGCGCTTTTTACAATTTTGTAAACAACAAACTAAAAGACTCAAGGTCCATCCCTCCCTTGATAGGACCTGATGGTAAAGACTGCAACGACGACACCATTAAAGCCAAAATCTTTAACACATTCTTCGGCTCAGTATTTGTAAACAGCAATGGATCATGCCCAATATTTCCTAGCCGTACCACAGATAACAACAATGATCTAATACATATCGATTTTACAGTAGACAACGTTGAAAAAGCACTACGCAACCTAAAACCATCTCTATCTATTGGACCGGATGGAATATGTGCCTACTTCTTAAGAAAGCTATCCACTGCCATAGCCAAACCTCTAAGCATAATCTTTGAAAAATCTTTCAGAACCAGCTCCTTGCCCAACCTATGGTCACAAGCCACAGTCATCCCCATCTTCAAAAAGGGAGACCCAAGCCTAGTTGAAAACTACAGGCCAATCTCCTTATGCTGCGTCACCTGTAAAGTCATGGAATCAATTATTAACCAATCCATCATCCTTCACTTAGAGACAAATAACCTACTCTCCAATAAACAATTTGGTTTCAGGAAAAAACTATCCTGTAATCTGCAACTCTTACACTGCAAAAACATATG